AAGTAAAAAATTTAATTCAGAGCGTAGGTTTAGAACGCAGCCCTGATGTGACAGGTTATTTGTTATGGTATGTTTTCTTCCCCATTGCCACTATTGACCAAGTGTCAGTAGAAATGGCAATGTCTATTAATCTATCTGAATAATATATATATAATGCCAGCGTGATACATAGTTACCATTGAGCTATTATGTACGAATATTCAGTCAGTAAAAGCTAATTATATTGAACACTATTTTCACACGCACATACTACTACACAACTATATTCAACCCGGTATCTGAACTTTTATATAGTAATTAAATGTGTGTTATGTACATAAAAACCTGTTGATCGCTCTCATTGAAGCCTTATTGGCATTCAAACTCCAACGAGTAATATTTCTTTTGTCACTAATTCGGATATGTGTTCCTTGAGGATTTCAACCCCGCTCTTCCCTTAGAAGAATATCGTTTGTAACACACCTGGAGTTGCCGATGTCTATGGACGAAGGTGATCACCTACGTAGTTGAGCCAGCTGTTCGTACGCCCCCTATACATATAAAGAAGAAGGGGCAAGGGCCAGGGCGAATATATTAGTTGCAACTATCGTTAGGTTCGCTCACTTGAGAGAACTCTCGGACGGACTATGAAACAAAGGTTTTATTTTATAAGTTAATGTAAACAAATTGTATGAAAGGGAAAGACTACGAAGCACACATAATAGTTCCCGTAGATGGCACTGCAAAGACCTAGTACCCGTCTTTTTATGTTTAATAATGTAATAGTACAAATGGTTGTCTGGGTTCACGTTTGTATTGTTTTTACGGTTCCGTGCTTAAAAGAATAGTTCGGAACCCCTTAAAAAAAACTTTGTTGCCTGTCCGTCTGTCAATACCCTTATGCTCAGATCAATACTCTGGTCTGCAATCCTTTGGAAAAGTGACAAAATCACTACTAACTCGACACTATCAGAAAATACGGATAAGATTATGCTGAGTACGTAATAGCTCATTGTTAAATCTGACATTATTTTAAAACGGAAATGAGTTCTGCATTTTTACATAATTTCACTTTTGACCTTTTGAACATTTTAAAACATTGTTAAGACAGCAAATGTAAAAAATACTATAAGATAAAGAAGACGTCTTTGATAACTTCATTGTTTGTTTTCTGTGTAACTTTAATACATAAAAAGTGGAAAGAACCTTGAAATATTTGCAGAACAATCCTAACCAAAAAGACACCAAACAATGTCAAAGAAAATAATATAATAATGGTGTTAATATCGGTAACAATAACTATTTTATAATAATTAAAACTGTACCATTCTACAAATATCTAGGACCTATGATAACCATGACCTCTTAAATCAAACTTGTATATCAGGTATTAAAATAAATATTTCTAATATTATGTAAACCGTTATCACCTTCGATATTGCCCACTCTTAGTTGTATGAATTAGCTATTATTAGCAAAACAATATACACAGTAATTATTAAAACCTTATATTAAACTTTACATGTTCCAAAACACTACAATATACTTTAAAGCAATTCTAACATTCTACATTCTGGGAATGTTGTATTATAAATATGGCTACATAAATATTAATAAACATCATACAAATTACAAAAAGAAATACATTGCCATTAATAATTGAAAATTTAAAGGATATTTGAAACAAAGATATTTTTAATAATGATTATATTTAGAGATTCTTTCTTTGGAAGTATTTCAATTATTCATAAATAATACCTACTCTACTACTAACCACACTTTCAGTTTATGCGGTGTCGGTTATATCACCACGTGGGCGGTTCTCTGCGGTATCCGACTGAGACAGAAGGCAGACGACTGCGACACTTTACGTTTGGTTTATATTTGTAACTATAATGTATGTCATAGTCAAACTCAAAATTATTGACAACTGCTATCAATAACCTTTTATATAAATATTCGAAATGCGCATGGCGTCCATACGCGCGAAACGCGATAGGCGCATAGAGGTATAAGAATAGAGTGGGGAAGGCGGCTCTAAAACTGTCCGGCTAGTAGAAAGAGAAAGAAGATGAGAGACCGCTAGCTATCTCTCTCTCTCTCTTGTGACGTATCCGCAGTCGTCTGTCCAATAATTGGTCCAAGCATCACATCGAAATAGTAAGATGCTTACGGTTGCCAATGCGCATGCGCCATTAGACAGAGAAAGCTAGCGGTCTCCCATCTTCTTTCTCTTTCTATTAGAGGGACACTTCCACTTCTAGTAGAGTCTATATCTCCCCTACTATATTCTTATACCTCTATGGTTAGGCGTCGTACTTATTGGCAAAGATCGTACGATGACATGGTGCGTTCCCATTATGCACTGATTTTCAAACATAGAGATTCCTTTAGGAGTGTCCTAATTTCAGCTCGCAAGTCGTCGTACGAACTGAGGCATCGTTTAATAAAATCGTACAGTGGGTTTAATGGTACTTAATTAATATAATACACCGATCTCTTTTGAGTATCCTAATTGGAAGCACGTCATTGCACGAGCACAGCAACTGGAACTATAAAGTCTATTATTTGGCCTTCTTTACCTTTTTAAATATCATTTGCAATATTCAAACCAATTTGCGCGATCTATTAGGACACCCGTGTTCAATCATCGTACGATTATTTTCATCGTTCGATTATATTCATCGCACGACGAGGTCGCTTCGTGTCATCGTATGATCGTGGTCAACTAAGACGACGCCTTGCCAATTGCACGAAAAGTGTGTCATAAAAAAGGATGTAATACCCTAGCGATGCAAAAAAAGAACGATGTTACTTTTCGCCGGTAAGATAATTTAATGTACTTATAGAAAAGTTAAAAAAAAGTTCTATTCCTTCATCCTTTGAGCGTCAGAAAGGGAGGAAAATATCTCGACTTGAACATAGTCTAGTGTTTCTTAATGGAGCATTAAATTTAATCGACGTATTTGAGTTAGTCCGTAAATAATAATAACTTATTTTTATCTTTAATTTTAGTAGCAGGCACTCGTGTCCATTTGTTATTGGCAAAAATTAATTATATTGTTAATTCGTAATAGGTATATTTTTCGAGATGTATATTACGGTAGTAAATTACACTGCAAAGGAACTGAACACTGGGATTTTAGTCTGAATGATCAGTATTATAAAAAATAATGTTGTAAGAGGGTCATCCTGTGATATAAAAAACCCCTTTGGATGATAATTCCAAGAAAACTTTCATATAATTTTAAGAATTTATTTGGTTTGATTGATATGGTATCCGATAAACCTACAGTCATTCGATATTATTTTAATCACAGATTACGTAAAACTTTCAGTTGAAATGAGCAAGAAACAAAAAAAATCTAATAAACACATTTCTAAATAAAAAAAAATAGATTAAATAACCCGTGGCAGTAAGTTGCCTTTGTTGTCGTTGATAATTTTTTATTAATTAAATTTTATAACAAGTACGAAAACGTGGCGGAATGTAGGCGCTACAAAGAATTGCTCTTCGGCGAACTTAAATTTAAACAATGTAATGACAAATGGAATTTTTACGTGAAAAGGTTTTTTAGTTCCTAATTTGTCATTTCATTTAAATACACAGTACGATCAAAACCAGAGACAAATAACTAGCCAATCGTATTTAAAGTAGGTAGTTTTATATTAAAGAGCATTTTAACTTCTGTGTGTGAATTATAGATTACCTTAATCCAATCTTGATATAAAATTGGAGCCAGTACTATATTCAGATACTTAACCAGCACTCAGAGATATCAAGCTATAATATAAGACAACAAATCATGTTGACAATCATTTAATTTAATGGACGCCTCTGAGTGTGGTCGTTGGCAAAAATACAGATTATTAATTTTACTTCCGCCTGTCCTACTTTACTATCGAACCAAATCACGTCTTTGACGAATTATATATCTAATGCCGACGCTTCACTCAGCTATTCGTTTTCCTATTTGTAAACTTGTCAAAAATCTGTCTTTATCATGCTTTATAAGAAAAGAAAAGCACAGACTCATGTCAAGTACAGGCAGTCCTCATACTTACGGCATGTTAGGTTCTCGAAATACGCGACGTAAAGCGAAACGACGTAAGTCGAGACATCCCCACGAACGCTGGCCCCACGGATATTGACCTCGCGACAAGTGAATTCTCCTATGCAGGAAATCGAAACAGTTGACGTATGCTTGAGGAGTAGTGTCAAAACATTGTTCGACGTAACTTGAAACGACGTAAATCGAAACGACATAAGTCGAGGACTTAATGTATACAAATAGCAAAAACGAATAGCCAAGTTAAGTGCCGAAATAACACACATTTCACAGTAAAAAGGAAACACACATTTTACAATAATATTATCTCTAATGATAACATTTGCGTTAAAGCCTTAAATTAAATAATATTACTATAGTTTTCATGCTACACTGCAGTTATTAGAGAGCTCATAGCACAATGCGTTCTGCGATCCTTATTGAGTACAAAAATTGTAGTTCCGCCCTTGAAGTATTTTTATAAAAATGAGAGCAGATAGCTGTTTCTTCTTCTTCCTTTCTGAACTTTGTGTCTACCAAAAAGTTGCCAGTATCTCGAAGGTATAAGTACTTACATTTATTAATCTAGTGATGTCTTTACGGCCACACTAAGAGACGTCAATTAAATTTAAAAACTGACAAAAAGTACAGTTGTCTTACACTTCATAAATAAATAAATACTATTGTCATGGTAAAGAAAATTACAGTGTCAAATTAAATCGTCAAACTCAAAAGTTAATCAACGTCTCCGAGTGCGAGGTAATGTCTGATAATTGGTAATAAAAGATTTTGGTATCATAAGCGTCGCCGAATTTTGCAAAAAATGCAAATGAGTTCGCCACACATATCTCGGTGAAACGACAATACCTCGAATCTTCTTGCTTCTAATAAAACTAAGTTCCGAGTATCATGACGCCGTCACGGCCACACTACGAGCGAATCTACTAGGATAATAGGTATTTAGAAAATAATACCATTTGGGGAGGGGGGGGGGGTCGCTGAGCAGTGTCGCTTCGCCATCGCCGGCGCAACAGGGATGATGACAAAGCTTTTTCTTCGTCAATCAGGTAGTTTATCAAAAAGTATAAGACACGTATTTTTTCTTTTTTTACATAATTAAAACCTTACAGAGAGATACATAGATTTAAAATGTCGCATGATGTCACGCCTAGGTACAACTTTCGCTTCGAAGCGACGTCAGGAGCGCCCGCTCGACACAAAATTGCGACGCGTTTCGTCTTTGTAATTTTCGGTTGATTGACAATTGGAAAGGAAAAGTATATTATGTCCATAATTTTTTGATTATCTAGATTTATCTATGTAATTTTTTGTTTCATTGACAAAAGAAAAAATAAGTGTCTAACTGACGAACTGAATAGAATTTTGCTTACTTCACCCCGTCATCATCCCAATCAGTAGGGGTAGTAGTAGACGCAGTCGCGGGTTATAGCGGATGCGTGGCCGCCTCGCCGGGCAACGCGTGCACTCGTGCCGATAGCAGATTGTGCAGTATGAACACCGCTGGCTTCGGGCTCCCTTCCATATCCAACTCCTGAGAAAATATCAATCAATCACATAATCAGTTTAATATTTCTGCGAGTCAAACTGTTACTGAAAGAATATTATAAAATGAGGCGGTCAGCGCAAAAGTGGCCTAACCCTCAATTATTCATATTCTGATTAGCGGCTTAAGCCACTTACTTAGGTTTACGTTAAGAGAAAAAAATCAATGCAAAAATAACTTTTGTAACGCCATCTATTGACGCCTGAATTGAATGACGATTTTGAATTAAATTTTTACACATTTTTATTTCATTGTAGAAGATGAATCAGAATACTTACTACAGAATAATTATATAAGTTTAGGCTACTTTTGCGCTGACAGCTTCAAATATTATATAACAAACGTAGCAATAGTTAAGTTGTCGTGATGGGTTCGAAATTATAACGCAAGGTTACGTTTGACATTTCGTTATTCGGCACACAGCTCACACAGGTCTATGGTAAACACACAATACTAATCATACTCTAATGTACATTTCAGTAAAAAAAAACTAAATAAAAAAATCCATTTTCAAGTTGCCGCCAAAAAGTTTCTCTGTACATTATATGACGACTTCCATTAAAACGTCAAACGGTATAATGTAATGTCACTTTGGCCGGAAGTTTACTAGCGTGTGACGTCATTTAGTCTTGGCCAATCCTGGGCGTTTTCGGTCACGTGATCATAGAACAAAAAATTTAATGATATTTTTGTGTATTTATTAATTATTTTTTTCACAGAATAGTTAAATCGCTGCTAATATTCATATTAAATACAGATGCCAACAATTGGTACCTTGCTTTTCATACTGTCGAGTAGCCTATCATAGGTTAGATTCGGTATAGTTTATTGTTATCTATATATATAAAAATCAATTGCTGTGCGTTAGTCTCGCTAAAACTGGAGAACGGCTGAACGGATTTATCTTATCTTGTTCTTGAAATGTTCGTGGAGGTCTAGGGAAGGTTTAAAAGGTGAGAAAAATTCGAATTCTACACTAGAGTGCGGGCCACTAACAGTTTATATTTTTGAACGTAACCTAGTCTAGTCACTAGCGTATGCACGCGTCGCCAGCAAGGCAGCGCACCCAGGTCGCGACCTAATCTAAATGACCTATAGCCTTGGCTATCAATATCGAATTCCAATAGTTGAATACGATCTCGATACGCGTCGAATTTCAATAACTTTTATATGGAAATTTGAACAGCGCCAAAACGGACGTAACGAGAATCAGAAATATTGCATTTAACACTTTTTGACATTTGACCCGTATCGAGATCGAATTCAACTATTCCAATTCGACATTAGTTCATAATAAGATACTGAAAAAATGACCTAACCTATGTACGGTTTCGCAAGTAACAGATGCGAGCTGTGGCACTGCTCCTCTTCGAGCTCTGCATGTAGTCGTGCAAGAAATGTGAAAACAGATATGGACAAAACAATTATGGATACATGCAGGCGTTTACAAGCGATTCAGTTGAGGATATCCATTACTCACGAACGTCCAATTGCATTAGCGTATGCGCCTGCCACCGCGCCCCAGCGACGTGCTAGTGGAAGGAGGGCACGCGTGACTAAGAAATTCAATTTCATCAATCTTGAGATTATTTAGGAATACCAATCGAACAAGATCTCGCGACACCGGTGAGTTTTTTTTTTTACAAATTACCAAAGATTGATATTTCCAATCTCCAATTGCATTTCCTACGTGTGGTTGTACTCACGAGGGTATCGTTGTCAGCGAAATGCAGCCACAGCGCGGCGCGGTCGTGGTCGGCGGAGGCTCGCAGCGCGTGCTGCGGGCGGCGGTACAGTGCACGCGTGGCAGTACTCATGAGGGTATAGTCGTCGGCGAAATGCAGCCACAGCGCGGCGCGGTCGTCGTCAGCGGAGGCCCGCAGCGCGTGCAGCTGGCGGCGGTACAGCGCGCGCGTGGGAGTACTTACGAGGGTATCGTCGTCAGCGAAATGCAGCCGCAGCGCGGCGCAGTCGTGGTCGGCGGAGGCCCGCAGCGCGTGCAGCGGGCGGTGGTACAGTGCGCGCGTGGCAGTACTCACGAGAGTATCGTCGTCTGCGAAATGCAGCCACAGCGCGGCGCGGTCGTCGTCGGCGGAGGCCCGTAGCGCGTGCAGCGGGCGGCGGTAGAGCGCGCGCGCGCCCCCGCGGCCCAGCGACCCGGCCGCCTCCCAAACGCAAACGCCGCCCGCGCCGAGAGACAGCCGCGCGCACACCCCGCGGAAACGGCACCCTACGGGCGACTAACTATTTTAACACATCTGTCTGTCTGCCAAACCGAACCGGTTGTACTTATCGCGCCACCCAAAAGGTCTGCCTAGCTTTCTTTTAAAATTTCTTATCAAACTGAACACTGCCAGTAAACTTTAAGATATAAAGATAATATTCCTTTACTAAAAAAAAACGACTGAAGTGAAACTTCTTTATCTACACAGTCAGGTCATAAGTATTGTCACACAGTAAAAACTTTTCTTTTAGAATGCTGGCCACAAAAAAGTTTATTAAATTCAAATTTCGAATTGTTCATGAAAATAAAAATGTATACTTTTTCTAATTTTACTCATTTTTAAATATGGAGTGGACGCTTGAAAAAAGACCGTGTTGCAGTTATTGCGTTGCATCGTTACGGTTACGCGCCAATTCAAATTTTTGACATACTGAAAAATTTGAATATAACCAAAAGATTCGTTTATCGTACCATCAAACGATACAATAAAGACTCGTGTAGATGACAGGTCAAGAAATAGTCGCCCTCGGTCTGTTAGGACTCCAGCAGTGATAAAAGCTGTGAAGGCGCGAATTCAAATTCGATGGGGTGTCGTATGGTTTATGCGTCATGCTCGTGAACGGGTGCTGCCAGCGGAGATGAGTCTGCTCTTCTACATTGGGTACTATTAATCATTGTACTTAACTTAAATCGTTCATTTTTTTTATACCTAAACAGTAGGATACGGCATTCCTAAACATTCCTAAACTTTGTTAAACCAGATTTTTATTTTTTTATTTTATAGTCATAATTTTTATATTATTTACATTTCTAATGGGAAGAGACTTCATGAGTTACCTCATATTGAAGTCATTTTTCAATTTGACGACGCTATATAAAATACAGGGAGAAAAAAAAACAGCTCTTGCTGAGTTTCTTGCCGGCTCTTCTCAGTACAAGGTCTCCCGCCGTAGATATACGAACCCATGGCGTAGCTTTTCGACAATCACAAGTGCTTGTAACAGCCTAGACTGAATGAACGATATTGATTTTTTGATTATGATGTAGTGGTCGGTGTACTCACGAAAGGTGTACTCGGGTTGTTCGCGTACGGCGTGGTGCGCGCCATCGACAAGCGCGCCCGCGACGGCCGCCAGGTCGTGCGGCGTGTCGGCCCGCAGCGCACGGACGCACAGCCCGGCCGCGGTGCCCGCGCGGACGCCCAGCGACGCCGCGCCGCAACCGCCGTTACCTGACCGTACATCATACAACCATAGAGGTATAAAGGTACTATTCCGTGCATCGCGATCGAATGATGTTCGATCGATGAAAAAAACATCTAATACTCATAATTAACCTCACCGAAACACAACACCGACAAAAGGTAGTGTTATTTTACTGTGGTCTTTCATTACTATAGCAGTGTTATGATCATAGAGGTATAAGAATAGAGTAGGGGAGATATAGACTTTACTACAAATGGAAGTGTCCCTCTAATAGAAAGAGAAAGATGATGAGAGACCGCTAGCTTTCTCTCTCTCTAAACGCGCATGCTCATTTACAACCGTAAGTAACTTAATATTTCGATGTGATGCCATTGGATGCCATGCGTCACAAGAGGGAGAGATAGCTCTCTCACATCTTTTTTTCTCTTTCTACTAGACGGACACTTTTAGAGCCGCCTTCCCCACACTATTCATAAGGTCTACTATTACGTTCAAAATTCTACAATTACGTGCATCGCGATCGATTGCGGCCGCGCGCGGCCTACGACTGTCGTCGGACGCTCACGACAATAGCCATAGTATGAAAATGTATGGCACCGCTTCCGAGGCCGGCGACAGACGTGCGCGGCCGACGACTGTCGTGAGCCGCGCGCGGCCGTGGGTGTCTCGACATGCTCAGCGCTCAGTAACATCTTGGATTTCATGGCGCAAACATGTCTAGGAACGCAGGAGAAAACTTCCGAAACTTTTTTTCATCACAATGCTAATAGCTTTTGAATCAATATTTCAGTTTATAACAACAACGCGTCAAAAACGTCAAACAGTAAAGAAGTGTTATCTGTAGTTCTGCAAAGAAAAATCAAAAGCTGTGCTTTTAAGCTATAATTCTATCATTTTGTGTTTGTTACTTAAAATAGGATTTTATTTCTACAATTATCATATAAGACTTAGCAGTTTCGGATGCTTGAACTGTGTGAAATTGTGGTCCTAAATCTCCAAGTGACGGTGGACAAAAGTGATTTCGTGGAGCAATTCCCTATCTTGCTTAATACCCACTTAACTAAGAAAAAAAAGTTTTAATTTTTATTATTTTTAAAGCATGTAACTGCTTGATGTTTAATTTCGACGCGGTCCGTGAGGGCCGCGGTAGCATAATTGGTCAGTGCATTCGCCCGGATTGCGAAGGGTGCGGGTTCGAGTCCCGTCTGCTGCCTGGTCCGCGTGGAATTTTTTCTAGTTATATTTTCTTTAGATTTAAACATCAAGCAGTTACATGCTTTAAAAATAATAAAAATTATAACTATAATTGCTATTTCTTCTTTCAAATGTTTAATACTTGTAAAAGTATTCATTTGACATTGTGGGTTTACCTATAATGCGAAGAGATGGCGCTGCCTTGCAGCTTAAGAATAGCTAGAAAGAATTTCGACGCGGTCCGTGAGGGCCGCGGTAGCATAATTGGTCAGTGCATTCGCCCGGATTGCGAAGGGTGCGGGTTCGAGTCCCGTCTGCTGCCTGGTCCGCGTGGAATTTTTTCTAGTTATATTTTCTTTAGATTTAAACATCAAGCAGTTACATGCTTTAAAAATAATAAAAATTATAACTATAATTGCTATTTCTTCTTTCAAATGTTTAATACTTGTAAAAGTATTCATTTGACATTGTGGGTTTACCTATAATGCGAAGAGATGGCGCTGCCTTGCAGCTTAAGAATAGCTAGAAAGAATTTCGACGCGGTCCGTGAGGGCCGCGGTAGCATAATTGGTCAGTGCATTCGCCCGGATTGCGAAGGGTGCGGGTTCGAGTCCCGTCTGCTGCCTGGTCCGCGTGGAATTTTTTCTAGTTATATTTTCTTTAGATTTAAACATCAAGCAGTTACATGCTTTAAAAATAATAAAAATTATAACTATAATTGCTATTTCTTCTTTCAAATGTTTAATACTTGTAAAAGTATTCATTTGACATTGTGGGTTTACCTATAATGCGAAGAGATGGCGCTGCCTTGCAGCTTAAGAATAGCTAGAAAGAATTTCGACGCGGTCCGTGAGGGCCGCGGTAGCATAATTGGTCAGTGCATTCGCCCGGATTGCGAAGGGTGCGGGTTCGAGTCCCGTCTGCTGCCTGGTCCGCGTGGAATTTTTTCTAGTTATATTTTCTTTAAAAAAAGTTTTACCAAAGCACCCGTCGTTTTATAACTTTCGTCAAGAGGCGGGTAGCCCAAGGGATAAAGTGTTCAGTTAAAAACCGAGTGATCTGAGGTTCGATCCTTAGATTGGATTTTTATTTTCTTTATATTTTTGATTTTTAAATTTTGTCTTTTAAAGTTGTTAGTCAGCTACTTAGTTGTTTTTTCTTTTTCTTTCCATATATTTATTTTTTTGAGACTGACTATATATTTAGTGTACTAAAAATGTCACACATTATGTCTTGGGGATGCTGTACAATGGATGAACTCGACGGCAAAGAGGAATTTATTAACTGCATAACTTGTAGAGAGTCTTATCATTACCTATGTTTGTCAATCCCGGAAATAGCGAGGACTTCTGTAGCATATAAAAAATGGAAATGTCCTTACTGTCTAAATTTGATTCCGAAATCTACAAAGTCGGATTCAGCTCCCGTTCGTAGTGGAAGTAACCCCAGAGGGAACAAGAGGCCTGCTTTAAATTCGCCTCCAGGTATACCGGCTCTTACACGAGAAGAAGTTCAAGATATTATTCAGAGCGCTATTAAGAATGAAATTGATTCGCCATTTACACAATTTAGTAATCATTTGGCAGACGTTATTAAAAAGGAATTGGAACCAATAAAGACGGAGATGGCTGAAATAAAGGATTCTATGAATTTTATCAACAAGCGATATGAGGAAATTGAGAATGAGCAACGCAATACGAGCAAATTTATTAAAGAGTTGCAGATAGTAAATGACACATTAAAATCTACTGTGGCTGACCTTGGCCTGCGCCTTAATAACCTTGAGCAACAATCTCGCTCCAATAATATAGAGATTCAGTGCATGCCTGAATATAAGAACGAAAATATATTTACTATTGTAAAGCAACTGGGTTCTGTGTTTGGGTGCGAGATAAATGACAGTGAAATTTTGAATTGCAGCCGTGTGGCAAAAATTAACACAAATACACAACGGCCACGATCTATTGTCGTCCAGCTTGCGTCTCCCCGTGTTCGTGACCAGCTCTTGGCATCTGTAATCACCTTTAATAAAAATAACGCACAGAAGAAACTTAACAGCACGCACTTTGGACTTAGTGGTTCTGAAACACCAATATACATAGTGAACACCTGTCACCAAATAATAAGGCTCTTCATGCAGCTACGAGACTGAGGGCTAAGGAGAGCTAGGGATGTCGAAAGTTGAAAAAAATATCGATATATCGATACATCGATATTTAAAAAAAATATCAATATCGGCTTCGATATATCGCGGAAAAAATATCGATATATCGGACCAATTTTCCCAAAAATATATTTTTAGGTCAGCCTAGCACAGTAATAATAGTTCAATACAAATTATAATTAAAGAAAGAATTATTACAGTACCAAATTGCCGCTACACTACATGACACGCGGAGTAATAATGGAACGAAAATTATCTCCCTAAAAATAGACCCTATTTCCGAATGATGAAAATGATTGCAGGGCCTCTCAGCTGCCATCTTTCGTAAACAACACTAGACAGTCACACACTTCCACAGAATATAATGGAAATCAGCACAACCAATTCACCAGCGAAACAGATTTACAAATAATAGACAATACTAAATACAGCATCCAGTCCAGATCCAGATCCAGAGATCCTGTCACAATTTATCCAGATACTAGTTAGATCGTAAGCCGCTAATAATTAAAAAAATATCGTTTTTGATACGAATTTCGATATAGGTTATTTTGTATCGATGTATCGATATATCGAATCAAAATATATCGGCAAAAAATATCGATATATCGAACAAAAAATATCGATATATTTTCAACATGCCTAAGGAGAGCGGCTACAAGTTTGTGTGGGTGAGAAATGGTAGAATTTTCGCGAGGAAGGCTGAAGATACTGAGTATATATTAATTAGAAACATGGACTCATTGAATAAATTACTGTAATTAATATTGTACCATTGTTTAGCATGTAGCAGATATAATTGTATAAAATTCAACCATATAAGTATATATTACCAAAATATGCGTGGTTTGCGAACCAAAACTGATATGTTTTTTCGTAATATTCAATGTAATAACTATGATGTTGTGGTATTAAGGGAGACATGGTTAAATGGCTCTGTACATAGCTCTGAGCTGTTTGATAGCAGATACGTGGTATATAGAGGGGACAGGAATAGTTCAAATTTACATCGTGGTAAAGAAGGCGGTGGAGTTCTGATAGCCGTTAAAAAGAATATAAAAGCTAGACGAGTCACTAGTTGGGAATCTGATTGTGAAGATATCTGGATACTGATCGATGCTCCTTCCAATGGTCTGCGTCAGATAGCTCTTTGCGCGGTATATTTACCTCCACCTATTCAACGCGATTTGTTGAAGTATTATTTAGATACATATAACGCTGCTTTCGAAAAAATGGACAATATCCATATTTGTATTGTTGGAGACTTTAACTTAAGTGGCATTGATTGGAAGTCCATCTCAGGTTCTGCTCAGTATGCTAAACAACATAATATTAATGAAATTTTTTTAGATTTCATATTTGTTAATCAATTGATGCAATTTAATAATGTAATTAATTCGACTGGCAGAACCCTGGACCTAGTACTATCAACAATTAGTTCTTGTTTGGTCGAAGAATGTAGCGATTGCCTTTGTAATATTGATAAATATCACCCTCCTCTCGTAATAACCATACCTTGTAGTAGCGAGCACAGAATGCCTTATAATAATATGAATAACGTTAGGCGTAACTACTTTAAAGCTGACTACGAATCAATACGTAATTATTTAAGCAATTTTGAATGGGATGAACGTTTTAGGGCACTGAGTTGCGTGAATAGCAAGGTTG